GTGTAGCCAAAATCCAGACTTCACTCATCATATATGTAACAGTCAAAAGTTGGGACACACCCTCCCATTATTTATTTTTTTCTATACGTTTACAACTTTGAAAATTTTTCTACATACAGAATCAAACACATCATATATATGAACCAACATGTCTGGAAGTATTTAGTGAAGAAAGAAGTGAAAATACTAATTATAATTGTGTACATTTTACTTCATACATTTGTTGTCTTCATAACTGTACAGAAATTTACAATGCAATCATCTGAAATCCAATAATATTTAAAGTCTTTCACAATTATTTCAGTAATATTTAAAGTCTTTAATAATTATTTCAGTGATATTTAAAGTCTTTCATAATTATTTCAGTAATATTTAAAGTCTTTCACAATTATTTCAGTAATATTTAAAGTCTTTAATAATTATTTCAGTGATATTTAAAGTCTTTCATAATTATTTCAGTAATATTTAAAGTCTTTAATTATTATTTCAGTAATATTTAAAGTCTTTAATAATTATTTCAGTAATATTTAAAGTCTTTCATAATTATTTCAGTAATATTTAAAGTCTTTCATAATTATTTCAGTGATATTTAAAGTCTTTCATAATTATATCAACATTGTGCCAATGGGAAAACTTTCACTTCTCTGTTCGAGCCTCTTGTGAAACAGTGACACATGTTTGCCACTTTTCAACTTTTCTTTTTTTTTTTCCACTGAAATACTCATTTGTTCCAACAACTGAATAATGAAAGATACCATGAAAAAGGTTCAGTGTGTAGAGTCAAAGTACAGGTGTGACCATGTCTTTGCTTAAAGTCAGCGGCAGTGAGGAGCTACTTAATAAATCAGTCCATGTCCATCAGTCAATCTCCATATGAACCTGTAAACTTGAAAGTAACATAAAATAATTCTTCATCAACTGTAGTGAGCACAATAGAACCTCTTAAATTTCATGTTATTGGTAAAATCCACTATGTTAAACCTTTGTTACAAACAGGAGTTCAGTTATTTGCTGATATATACTGTCATTACAGTACACTACAAAGGAAAAACACAGCAACTGTGTACTTTGTTAAAGCTCAGTTAAGGCCAAAAACACCTTCATATCTCCTGTTTGATCTGGTGGCTCAACTCTGTCTCATTTCTGAGAAATCTTGATGTGAAACTGTACCATAACTTCCATTTCCTCCATGATTCAAAGGAAAAGGGCACGGCACTGGTGAATTAAAACAGATACTGCACTGTTCTGAAGTTTTACTGGAGAGTAAATCTTCTGAAATGGAACAAAATACAGACTTAAAACTGTCACAATTTCTTATTAAATACATCAGCTAGAATAGGTAGGTAGGGTTTTGGTGATAAAAGGTCTTCCCAAATATGTTTTCTCAGACCACCTCATTTTCTGTTCTTTAGCTGCACATTCAGAGGTCAAAGGTCAAATCAGTTGTGATGATTGTGATTGATAAATACTAACTCATCATCCAAAAGTCTAATTAAATGTCTCCTTAAAGGTGCACTTTTCTGGTAGGGGGTCCAGCACAAGCTTGTTTCCATGAAAATAGTATTGCTTTGCTTGAAAGGTTCCACAGTACGGCACTGAACTCATTTATGTTGGATTTATTTAATTACAGGTCTTTTACTGCTCAAACATAGAAAAACAGACATTCTGACTGTGAGCGCGGTCGCCACTCCACAGATCTGACCTGCAACCTGGTTCGGCCTCCATGAGGATAGAAAGATTTAATGTCATTCTGTGAAACATTCCAGACAAAGCAATGACATCTTCATGAAGAAAAAGCTTTTGACTCACCCTTCACCAGAAAAGTGACACAGGGCACCTTTACCTGATGTAAAACTATGATTCATTTTAACCACAGGTACTAACCCACTAAATCAAGTCATAATTAGAAAAACGTTGATATTGTTGGAGTGCAACTTCAGTCTCTTAGCGTAGCATTGGTCTCCTCCTCCCTGACAGACGATGATCCACAGAGCGAATGGTACGTGGAGGTCTGGCTTTGGTCTGACTCCAGGTGAAGATGATCCATGCTCCTTCTAGTCCTCTGCTTTGCTCTGTCCAGAAGAACCACCACGCACTCCCCAGAGAACCATCACTGAACAGCCTATGGACTTTGGACTTTTTATAGAGAGACTGTTAGGCTTTGACAACTTTATAAGATAGGACAGAAGTTTAAATTCAAGCAATGCAGGATAGGCTCATAGGTTTTCATGCAGTCCAATGAGGTTAATTTGGTCTTCCGATAATTTATGTTATTAGGTTCTTTTTTCAGACTGTGAGTTTGTTTTCATACCTGACAGTTCTTACTTCTCAAGAGCGGTCTTCCTTCGAGTGGTGATGTGATGTGACGTGTCTGATTAGCTGATTTATACAGATTTAAAGGTGCACTATGTAACTTTTCTGGCAGAAGGTTTGCAGAATGTTCGATAGTTTGGCATTACACGCAATTCTTGGTTGGAGTTACTGTTAGGGAGTGATTGTATGTCTAGGGGGTATTAACTGCTGACACATAACATTTTTCGATCATCATTTTACATTTTATTGTTTTGAAAATGCTAAATTCGCCAATATATTAGCGTTAGGGATGTAACAATAACCAAAATATCATAATATCATATTGTCAAAAGTCTCACAAATATATCGTGGGCTGTCACAGTATATCGAATCACAAGTTTCTTTGCTTAAATGCATGATTTTATAGTAGCAACAGCTTATAAACATAGAGAACCACTAGGGATGTAACAATAATCGAAATATTGTGATATCGTATCATCAATGTTCTCACAATAATATCGTGGACCATCACAATATATCGAATTACAAGTCTCTTTGCTTAAATTAAGAGTTATGGTGCAGCAATAGCTAAAAAAAAAAAAAACTGAAAGAACTACATAGACCATGATTCTTTGCTCCATTTCAATGTAGACTACAAGAAGAAATAACAGCTCTAAGCACTTGTAAGTCTTTGTTCTTTGGATTAAGTCTTGTCAAGGCATTTTAAGAGGAAAAAGTAGCATATTAACAATTTTAGCTGTTTTGCCTCCGCAAAATATCACAATAAATATCATAGCGTGAGATGTATAATAAATATTGTACCAAGAGTTTTGGATATTGTTACATTCCTAATCGTGAGAACAGCCCATAACACAGAGAAGTGCTTTGCTCATGGTTCCACTTCAGAGCACTCTTACTGTGTGTGTGGCATTAGAATTCAATGAGGCATGACACAAAATCTCTCAAAGTTACTAGGTGGCATTATAACATTTGTAACCATCCATAGTTTAAAATTGTGCAGGAGGAGAGGTGAATTTCATTTCAATTTACTGTTAATAAAAAATGCAGATGTTTTCACCATGAGATTAGTATAGCAAATCAATGAAAACTTTCCAGCTAAAATAACATGTTTTCACTTTTTGGATTTGATGCTAGGATATTTCTTTCAAAAACATCTTCAGTTGCCTTATGGAGCTCCACAGTTTTGCTCAATTTGATATCCGTTCTGGTACTGGATATAAATTTTCCATTAGTTTTTCCTATAGATTTTTCAAAACATTCTAATATTAAGAGTTCAAAGAGGCCAACCAGCTACACAAAATTGACTCTTGTGAGAGTTCAGCCTTGTTATAATGTTGTTACCTCCTCAAAAACATACTTGGAGTTGTGTTTTGTTTCATTCACACGTTTGAATAACCCTTTATTATTAGTCTGTCTTAGCTTGATACATCAGCCGGTTGCACTTCATGGAAATCGTCTGACCTCGCAGGATTATGATTCGTTGGCTCGATGGTATACGGGTACTTGTTTTAATTTAACCAATCGCTGCTATTTGGTCGTAACATATGTAATGCGCAGCTGACTGGGCTAACTGGTATATTAAGCTTTTCCCAAATCCTGTAGGAAGAAGGGCAATAACGTCTTGCCCCTTGATAAAATTCACCCAACATTCTCTTTGTTCCGGCTTTAAATCCTCGATCTCTGGAACACAACACTACAGCCAACACAGAATGTATGGCTCTTCGCTGATTGGCTGGTGCCCGGACTTGCACTTCCGGTGTTTTTGCAAACCGTCTAGTGTATTCTGATTCCTGACCTAGTTGCTGGAGAGAAATGAAATTGAGCGGTTGGTGGCGCCAGCCTGTCTACGTCTGTCTATCTTCAACCCTCAAAATGTGCTTTTCCACCTTGAGGTGTCATGAAGTGGGGTGAAGTTAACGTATGAAATAATATAAAATAGTATAAAATACACACAATATATTTTATGTGCGACTGGACTCATTTGAGAGTTTACAAATATTTATTTTATGCGCAACTACAGCCAAATATGCACGGATTTACCAAATATGCACAGATTTCTATTCTATGCGCACAAATATTTTTGAAAGCTTTCTTACTCCATATTAACAGTTCCTTTTATCTTTAATTCAATAGAGACTGGTAATTACAGGACTGAAATGATCCAGTTAAGGCTCATGGAGTTTTAAAACACAGTGGAGCACTTTCTGTATGAACCACATGACATCACAAGTTGGAACAGTTTGAGAGAACTCAGCTTGATTAGCCCTGAACATTTTTTTTTTTTTTTTTTTTTTGAAAGTCTATGGGAAAAAATTTACGGGAAATTTTCGCGGGGGTGGGCAGTCATTGTTGAGGTTTCAGATGACATCACAGTATTTTATAGGGCCATATTATTTAATACAGACGGGGGACAGCTAGTAAGTAATATCGGTATAATGCTGTTTTTTGTTGCAATACAGTGAGTTTATTTGTTCTAGTCATTGTAAGAAATGATCAGGTTTAACATTTGGGAATTTACCTTTTGGACATTACATGGCACAAGTACACTGTCATCGAGAGGAAAAACTGAATCTTACCCCCTATCTGGGAGTATAACATCAGATTCTAGGCTCTGAAAACCACTAATAGGCCGACGTTGAAATTATTTCATAAAATTCAGAGAAACACATCTTTACCATGTGGGCTTTCAGTCTCGCAACAGAATGCTATAAACTGTCATGATGCAGTGATGTCATCTCAAACCACAAACGTAGTAAGGTATACAGATGCATCAAGCGTGACAGTGTGTACAGTACAGGAAGTCTGCTCACAAAGCTCCTCATTTCAGTGCTACGCCTTATACAAAATGGATTTTAACAAAACCAAGCCTTTTTGCTTTTTATCAGACATTACTTTCGCAGATAGATTCCTTCCCCCGGTCTACATTCTCGTCTTCATCATCGGCTTGTCTGCTAATATTTGGGGACTTAAATTTTTACTGCAAAACTGGAAGAAATTCGGACACATCAACATTTTTGTCTTTAACTTGGGACTTGCTGATATTTTGTATTTGTTAACTCTTCCGTTCCTGGTCGACTATCATTTCAGAGAGAGAAAGTGGATTTTTGGAGACACTTTTTGCAAAATTACACGGTTCTGTTTTAATATAAACCTTTATGGCAGCATTGGATTCCTCACCTGTATTAGTGTGTACAGGTACTTTTCAATAGTCCATCCTCTGAAGATTATGGGCAAGCTAAGTCCCTCTCGCTCTGCAGTCATCTCAGTTATGGTTTGGCTGTTTGTGGGAGTACAAACTCTTCCAGACATGTTTTTTACTAAGACAAAGGGAAAGAAACCAGGAAAATGTTATGACACAACTTCCAGTGATTTCCTAGAGGAATACCTGAAATACAGTCTAGGTTGGACAGTGACTGGGTTCTGCTTGCCGTTTCTAGTCATGGTGGGATGTTATACTCATGTGATAGTGAAGCTGTGCGGCTCCAGCTCCACAGATACAAGTGAGTACAGACAGATAAAATCAAATGTAAAAATCTGAAAAATGACTGAGGTACAAAAAATGTACCAAGCAAGTCTGATTAACACATATTACACAAAATGGACTTTTGAGCTTTTAACCATGTTGTATTGTTGTCCTCTCATCAAAAACATACCTGGTGTTGTAAAATGCTATGATCGTATTTTGCTCAGATTGTTGCTTGATCGGTAAAAATCCAAACAAGCCTGACTCTGTGGGTCTAATCGTGCTCATAATGACCACATGGCTCCATTAGCACAACATTCACAGGAGAAATTGTACTTGCAGCTGGGCATAACTACACAGACTAGTTCTGAAAATGTCAGTGTTTATCAGTGTTTGTGTGTTTGTGTTTCACAACTAATGATAACTTCAATTTTGAAACATACATTTTTTGAAACATTATATAGAGAAGAGTGCCATAGTGAGCGTCTGCACATAGCGACAATTTGAAAGCACCAGATTTGGGACCCAACCCTATGAAGTTTTACAACTGTGTGAATAACATAGCATGCAGTGTGTTCTGTGAATGTTGCAAAAAGTTCTAGTTAAAACATTTGAACAGGCACAATTATAGTAAAAGGACATCTACATATACAAACAATCCAGTCTACTTTAAATTTTGCTATGATATTTATAGTTTTAATCATTTATGTTTATCTTTATAAACACAGAAATGTCCTCCAATTAAGTATTTACAGTGTAAACATGTGATTATCCTTCTCTCACTGTTCATTCAACACTGCAAAGGCTGTCAGGAGCAGATGTGACCACTGTGGTTGTGACACCCATCTCTATATCTAGAGCAAGGCTTGATCAGGATTATAAAGCTGGAGGATTTACCTTTGTGCATGTTTAGTGTACCTGATGCCCTCCCTCTGTCACAGATCATGTGCTGAAGAGGAGGAGCCTGCGGCTGCTGTTGGTTCTGATCCTTCTCTTCTCAGTGTGTTACATCCCCTATCACGTCCTCAGGAACCTCAACCTGTGCTCCAGAGTGCTGATCAAGAGGAAGCAGTGCTACAGCTGGTTTGACCCTGTCTACATGGCTCAACAGGTGGGCCGAGGCCTGGCGTCCCTGAACCCCGCCCTGAACCCTCTGGTGTACCTCCATGTGAGTGACGAGCTCTCCTTTGGACTCCGGGCACTCCATAGACACATGAGTGTGTTCTGGAGCAGTCAGACTGTTTCTGCATCCCAGGCACAGTCAGTCATCCAGGCCCCCTAAAAAAATAATGCCCAGAGAGGCTTTGAGGAGAGGCACAGAGGTGCAGGAGGGACAGGGATAGCACTGGTGTCCAATTCAATAGAACACCAGCTCTCTCCATGCGGAGAAACTCTTGTCTGCCCCTAGACTCACTATAACCTGCTCAAAGCACCGTCTGTCCTCTCCACTCTGTGCCTCTTATTTCATAAGTAATCTGCGCTAACAAAAACCACATTTATAACACCACAAGAGTTGTGTTCAAGCCTTTTTAAGAGCCATGACGTGCGTGGTGTGTGATGGCCTTAAGTAATTTTTTTCACTTTTTTCAAGGAAACACACAAAACTGTACTGATTCAAAACTGTATTTGTATTTACAATGAAATGATTTACAGTTTAGTCAGTCAGCTGTGTGACTCAAAGCTATAAAATGACTTGACAATGATATGGACCATTTTGTGATCATCTTGTGATTTTAGCCATTTTAAACAGGACTTAGGTCATTATTTTAGGAGGGTTTGCTATTGTAACAAATGTGGACACTTCAGTAAAATGACTTAAGTCTATGTCCCCAGTCATGGAAAACCTTTGGTTCATTCCCTACTTGCTGCACTCTTCAGTTAATACGCAGCAATAATGTGTCCTACCACAGCTATGCAGACCTCAGTCAGATCTATGTCTCACTGGCAACAGGTGAATATGGACCTGTGGATTCACTGCCACTGCATCTAACAAATAACCAGCTAAACTCAGACAAGACTGAAGTCATAGTCTTTGGCCCTCAGAAACAAAGAGACAGTGTCAGCAGTCACGCCCAGTCTCTCTCTCTCTTTAAAACCTTCAAATCAGGCTAGAAATCTAGGGGTAATAATGGACTCAGACTTGAACTTTAACAGTCACATCAAATCAGTAATATCTGCAGCTTTTTAACATCTATAGACATAGCAAAACTCAAAGGTATACTGTCTAAAGCAGATTTAGAGAAACTTATCCATGCATACGTACAGTATATGTATCCATGAGCTCAACCAGGACTAAACATGAAGAGTCAGTTTTTCAGTTATATCTTATCCTGATGTGAGACAGGCCTCTGCTTCTGTTTAGCTGCATATGACTGAAAGGTTCTCATTCTTCTCTTTTAATGTTCATTTTATGTTTATTACCTCTGCCAAGGAGGTTATGTTTTTGCCGGTGTTTGTCTGTTTGTTTGTTTGTTTGACTTTTAGCAACATAACTCAAAAAGTTATGAACCGATTTTGATGAAATTTTCAGGATTTGTTGGAAATGTGAAAAGGAAGAACTGATTTCATTTTGGAGGTGATCCGGAAGAAATCCTGGATTCTGGATCACTTTGAAATTTTAGTTAACATTGTGGTAAATGGGGCCAAAAATGTTTGTTTCTCAATATCTCGGTTAATTATTGACCAAACCCCATGAAATTTGACTCAGGGATGGACAATGGGATCCTCTTTCATATTCCAAAGGCTGATCCGGATCTGATCCAGAAGACTGATTTTATCGCAATTTATATAAAAAATGGGGGTAGTCCTTGGCGGAGGTCTGCGCTCTCTGACTGCTTTTCTAGTTATTTATGTTCTGGTCTGTTTATATTGTGATTTTAATGTTTTGAATTACTTTGTGTATGTATTGTATTATACAAATAAATTAGAATTACAATTATTTAGGCCAATCCCTAATTTGAGTCAATATTTGATATGTGTATGCCTGCTACTCCTTTATTTCTTGTCATTTTGTCTGGAGGCAGGTCTTAGAGTTCCACGTCAATCAAAGTTAACTGCTGTGTGCTGTGTTTTCCCCAAGAGTTCATATCAGCAGATGTGATTACAGCAAATATAATGAAGGTTCAGAAACATGACAGTATTTCTGTGAAATGTTAAATAAAGTTAAGTAGTAGTTAAGTAGTTTATTTAAAAAAAAAAGTTGTCTAAAAAAATTATAGTTCAGTTTTGTCAAGACCTGGTTGGCAGACCTAACCAAAAACCCTAAACTTACTTGTTCCTAACCCTAACTCTAACCTCAACCCTAACCTTAAAACTTAACCATAACCTTAAACTTACCATACCAGAGGAAAAAAAATATGTATATGTATGTGTGTATGTTTATGTGTATATATATATATATATATATATATATATATATATATATATATATATATATATATATATATATATATATATATATATATATATATATATATATATATATATATATATATATATATATATATATATATATATATATATATATATATATATCACATACACAGAGGCACTGATCCTGGCTGCTCAGGAGCAGGCCCTGGGCACTCGAGCAATAGAGGCCCAGATCTACCACACCAGACAAGACCCACGGTGTAGACTGTGCAAAGAGGCTCCTGAGACAGTCCAGCACATAACTGCAGGGTGTAAGATGCTGGCAGGGAAAGCATACATGGAGCGACATAACCAAGTGGCAGGCATAGTGTACAGAAACATCTGTGCAGAGTACGGGCTGGAAACCCCAGGATCAAGGTGGGAAACACCTCCAAAGGTTGTGGAGAATGACCGAGCCAAGATCCTGTGGGACTTCCAGATACAGACTGACAGAATGGTGATGGTGATTGGTTCACAGACATAGTGGTGGTGGATAAGAAACAGAGCAGAGCCGTGGTGGTGGACATCGCAATACCAAGCGATGGTAATATCAGGAAAAAGGAACACGAGAAGCTAGAGAAATACCAGGGGCTCAAGGAAGAGCTGGAGAGAGCCTGGAAAGTGAAGGCATCAGTGGTGCCTGTGGTGATCGGACACTCGGGGCTGTAACCCCCAAACTGGAAGAGTGGCTTCAACAGATACTGGGGAAAAACAATGGACATCTCAGTCCAGAAAAGTGCAGTACTGGGAACAGCAAAGATACTGCGCAGAACTCTCAAGCTCCCAGGCCTCTGGTAGAGGACCCAAGCTGAATGAGGGTGAAAGAGACCTACCACCGTGGAAGGTGAGAAACACATTTTTTTTTATATATATATATATATATAGTATTGCATGAACAAAATCTACTTAGGTAAAAGTATTAAAGTATCCATTTAAAAATGTACTTAAAGAGCAAAAGTAAAAACATTTGCAGCATACAGCTTAAAATCTAGTGATTTTGATGAACAATTATGTTGAATTTTGTTCAGTAGAAACAATTGATTTGATGTTTGTTTTTTGTTTTTTTCTAGCTGTTTTATTTATATATTTTTGTTTGTTCAAACCCCTCAGCAGGCATCTCACACAATAATGAAAAATATTAATATATTTATTTTTCAGTCCAGTTAATCAAATGTAGTGAAGTAAAAGTTAAAAGTATTCTCTACAAAATGTATAAAAGTAAAGTACTGATACCTCAATTGTCTACGTAAGTACAGTACTTTACAACTTTTACTTTGCCAAATTTTGCCACTAACCTTAATCTTAATCTTAACCTGATGTGAAAGCATATCTTTACAAAAATCTACACTTGCAGCGAAACACTAACAGTCTGTTGTTTGGAGTAACTTTGTTTGGGGGAAAATGGTGCCTTTGATGATGAACAGAAAGTACAAGAAAAACTGAATATGTTTTTGATGTCATTTTTGGTCTAAATTTGCATTGCATGTCAAAAGTTTTTAGGCCAGGTGAAAGGAAACAAAAAAAGTGGGTTGCCATGGTTGCATTAGACTGTTTAGGCCCTGCCCCGGAAAGAAGGCTGAACTTTTAGAGAGAGCCAGTCCTTTCATTAATTGTCATCATCTCTATCCAAAATGACTTCTGATTTTTTTTCTCACCTGCTTGTATCATTGCTCTGCTAGAAATGTTCCACAGTATGACATTAAAGAGCTCCATTTATTCAATTACAGATGGTTTTAGCACAAATATACCTAGAAAAACAGGCATTCTGACTGTGAGCGGAGTTGCCTTTCCACAGATCTGACGTGTAACTTGGTCTGGTTTGGTCTCCATAAAGATAGAAAGGTTTAATGCCATACTTTGAAACACTCCAGACAAAGCAATAACATCTCCATGGAAAAAACTACATAAAGGTGTTAGTATTTTGTTTTATTTGTCAAAAGTTTGGCCCCTTGTTAACAAAATGCTAAATTTAAAATAACACAACTAAAAAAGACTATGCAACATTTTTAGTACAATGTTAAATCTAATGATGTCTCTGAAGCTGAGTTGTGTTCAGGGTCACGTGGTGTGGAGGTTGTGGTTTGTGCACATTCAACACATCAGCCCGTGCAGTAATACTGTTGGTGCTGAAGACCACTTCCTGTCACTGACACAAAGAAACATCAAACTACAGAGGAAACAATAAAACAATACATTACAAAGCAATGAGTTAGTTACAGAAAGTGTATTTTTATTTTGGCACCAACAGTGTACAAAAATCGAAACTGCAACTTCAGCAAAAACCATAGACTGTATATATAAATGGAAATAGGTAACCCACTAGCCACCACGTTTCATACAGAAAGTGAGCTTGAGCGCCCTTCTGGCTCTAAGTCACCTTCTGTTGAGAAAACATCACCCTTCTCTCTGTCATTTTGTTCGCTCCTATAACTGCAGGCCTCTGTGAGCTTCATTTGACTGGAGTCGAACGCTATGGATGACATCACACTATTTTAGTCCACTTCTTTATACAGTCTGTGGTAAAAACACAATGGGAAAATGCAACATGTAGCACACCTTATTAAAAATTCTTCATACAAAATATTATTACAAGTCAAATTCCATCAAATGATCTCTTAATACATAAATACAATAGTTATAAATTCTCTATAAAGCTATTTACAGAGGCATTGGAAGTGCAAAGTCACATGCTACATACAAAACTTTAAAGAGGGGATATTTTACTTCGTATTAACTGCTAACACATAACCATATTACCTTTTATTGTTTTGAAAATGCTATATTCCCCAAAACAGTGTATTAAAATGTTTTATAAGTTCCTCTCTCTTTCGTCCAGACGCAAGTTACTTTGCCACAGCGCAATCAGTGTGCAACCATCTAATGAAACCACTGCACATCACATCAGGTTTGTAGTTTGTGAAGTTGTTATGTACAGTTTTGTATCATGTTTTTGTATATTTATGAAGAATTGTCGTCGGAGAGCATGGGTGATGTAGGCTTGTGGGCGGAGTCTTGGACAGAATCTTACTGCTAACAGTAAGGATGGTTTGAATAAGCTTTGGGAGAGGTCACTAAATCACTCAAACATGCATGGATGACACTTAAAACCTCTATATGCATGTTTTTAATGAGGGAACATTTAACATGGAAGAAATCGTGCTCTTTTCTCCCGTGACCAATCGGAGCGAGAAGAGCCAGAGCGGAGCCACAGCGGAGCCACAGCGGAGCCAGAGCTAACGATTATAAAGTGTTTTTTAAGACAACTGGAGGGCTTTGAGTAAAGAAAAAGTTTATGATCTAAAAATAGGTAAAAATAGCCAACAAATCTGACAGTTGTGAAAGTTGTAGGTGCCCTGTCAGCCGAACACAAGCAGTTACATTGCACTCTATGAGAAAAATCCTCTCTCAGCCCATTGGATTTTTTCCTCTGAAGTTCCAGTGAGCAGCCACTACGTTAACTGGAGGCAGCTACAAGCAGCAACACCCTGTCCAGTTATTTTAATAGATTTATGGATCTACCTTACATTTATTCAATTACAGATGGTTTTCCTGGCCAAAAATACCTAGAAAAATAGACATTCTGACTGAGTGGGGTCGCCTCTACACAGATCGGACCAGTAACTTGACCTGGCATGGTCTTCATGAAGATATAAAAGGTTTAATCCCATACTGTGAAACATTTCAGACAAAGCAAAAATATCTTCATGGAGAAAAGCATTTGACAGACTCTCCGCCAGAAAAGTTACACAATGCACCTTTACACTGTTAAAAAATATCTGTACAAAAATTTACAATATTCAACATTTTACTTATATGAATGGATGGTTTAATCTCTGGCTGTGAATGTCATGGTGCATCAGTTATAATGTGATGGAAATATAGAAGAAAGTGCAGGGTTTTCCTGGTTTGGGTCAGAGATGTGTTGTAGCGGCTAATCTACCATAGGATCTGAAACTGCACACAAATCAGGCTGTGATACTGTGTGGGGATTTTACACTGACCTAAATTATTCTAATCTTGATTTATTGCCTACTAAAAGGCTCTATGCAGTACAAATCTATTGTATGAGCAGCTCTTGCAGTGCATTACCGTGACGGCAAAACTCAGCCTTTGAAACTTGTGAAAAGTGCTCATATAAACTCATGTCAGTAAATAATTAGGATACTCAAAATGCACAAGGTTAGTGAGGAATAACTTTGGACCACTGCAAACTGTTTCAAACGAACTAGTTCTGTTTTTCATGTTTTTCAGAAAGTCGAAATCAGGTAGTGCGCCTTCAAAGTGAGGCTACTACATAAATGTATCTTTGTATTTACACACAAAATAGTGCAGAGCAGATGTCCCACCACGCCTGTACAGTTGTTTGTGGTTCTTTAGGGTCTCGTCAGGGTCTGTACCCCCACAGCGCCGGGTTGGTGTGGGGTGCGTAGGGGCAGTGGTGGTGGCACACACACGAGTGGATGAGCATCACTGCTCTGTGCTGCAGTCTGCCTCCTGGACACATGAGGGTGACATGAGCTGTGGAGGTGTGGTGAGGCGTGCAACAGCGGGCGTCCGAGCAGAGACCACAGTATCGGAGCTGGAGGGTCCTAGTGCTGAAACAGCCCTCATGGTACAGTCGTACCCGCCCTGGAGGCAGGACAGTGGGCTGGCACACTCCTGCACCCCCCCTCTGCTGCAGCTGCTGTGAGAGAATCAAATACATGAATGGATCTTTGTTTTCATCTAGACTTGTCCTGGGAAACTGTAAACTGTTTATATGGCACAGTGGCTCTCAAACAATTCACACCAAGTACCACCAAAGAAAAGATTTGTCTTTCTGAGTACCACCAGATCTAAATCAGGTCTATAGCAGAACTATTGCAGGTCTAGTCTAGGACTAAACCAGGTCTGTAACAGGACTATTTCATGTCTAATCTAAGACTGAACCAGGTCCATAACAGGACTATTACAGGTCCAATCTAGGACTAAACAGGGTCTAAAAGTGGACTGCATCAAGAAAGGAAGACAAAAGGGGATACAATGAACTCTAAATGACACAAAACCACAAACTGAAGAGCTGTCAAAGTCTTACCTAAAGGAGCTTGCAGACCACAGTTTAAAAAACATTGGTATAGTGGTTTTCTACTTCCAGTTAAAGGTTGTCACAATAAAATTTCTAACTTGATTTTTATACTAAGGAATAAACTGAAAACTCAATCTGTGTGACGCAAGATCTTTCAGATGAGACTTGGACAGCTCAGCTTCAGTTGATCTGTCTCGTTTAGAGTTAATTTTATCCACCTTTTGTCCTCCTTTGGATCATTTTATGTTTAGAACTACAGTGAAAATGAGGTAGACCACTTTTAGACCTGATTTAGCCCTGGAATAGTCTTATTATAGAGCTGGTTTAGTCCTAAATTAGACCTGGAATAGTCCTGTTATAGACCTGGTTTAGTTCTAGATTAAACCTGGAAAAGTCCTGTTATAGACCTGTTTTTGATCTGGTGGTACTCAGAAAACCAAATCTTTTCTTCAGTGATATTTGGTGTAAATTGTTTGAGAGTCACTCATATACTAATTTTCATCACCAAAGTTCTTTATGTTACCATGTTGTCTTACACAGAATTCAAGGTCATTCTTCACAAAAGCTCCAATTCTATACTGTTGTACATAAGAGATACAGAGGTCTCTGCTCACCCCAGGTCCTGGAGGTGCGAGCTTGGGCAGGTAGGGGGCGCTGCAGGGCCTCACTTTGCACAGTCTGGTCTCCATCTGCAGGCGACAGCTCGGGTTCTGATTGGACACTCGAGTGGAGACCCCCGACCCACAGCTCCGAGAACAGGCGCTCCACTGGGTACTCTGCTCCACACAGCGAGGGGGTACAGGGGGCTGGTGAGGGGGGAGACGGGGCTGGTGAGGGGGAGACGGGGCTGGGGAGGGGGAGACGGGGCTGGTGATGAGGTCTGTGAGGAGGAAGATGGGGTTGGTGAGGGGGTCTGGGCCGGGGAGGGGGGCCAAGGCGAGGAGGGGGAGCGGGGGGGCCCAGTCTGTTCCGAGGAGGGGCTCTGGGTAAAGACGGCCACAATCCTCCAGACCCCTGAGCTGTAAAACAAACAGGAGATTAAAATGTGTAGAGATTAGAGGTGTGTCACAACAACATGTTCTGAAGATGATATACAGTACAGCTGAAGAAAACATACAAAATAAATGATCATATTGAAATACCACTGACACAAAAACCCTGAAGAAGAATTATCCACCTAAAAACACAATTCTATATGTACATAAGCTGCTGTAGGTAAATGAAACAATGAGTAATAGAAGTGATTTATTCAACCCTCTACAGCTCAAATCATACAAAAAATATACAAAAAAAATACTCTTGGCGATATATATCAATAAATCAGCCCACAATATCGATACTGTATCAGCAAATTAAGCGATACGATATATCAATATTTTGAGATTTTTGCACACCCCGAGTCCCTAGTCGTTTTTGGGCAGTTTTACTGCAAACTAGGCCAAACTCAAACTAGACCTTGCAGCATTAGGATTCGTTACTGGACGGTAGGTAGGTAGGTACTTTTTTATTTAATCAATCGCTGCTGTGTGGTCGTGACATATGTAACACTCCAAATCCCGTAGGAAAAAGGGCAATAACGTCTTTCCCCTTGATAAAATTCACCAAACATTCTCTTTGTTGCGGCTTTAAAGCCTCAATCTCAAGAATCATTGCCAACACAGAATGTATGTCTTTGTCTACATCCATTTCGACCGCTTCGTTTACACAAAAGGGACCCAGACAGGCTCTTGAGTTTGATGTCATGGCTTCACAGCTCTTAGCTGATTGGCCGGTGTGTGGTCAACAACTTCCGGGATTCTTGAAAATTGTCAAGTGTATTCTGATTCCTGATCCAGTTGCTGGAGAGAAATGAAATTGAGTGTAGGCACTAGGTGGCGCCAGCCTGGCTAAGACTTTGCAGCTTTCTGATCAAAAATGCCTAAATCTAAATCTGTGCTGCTTTCACAGACAGATGTTTCTGATTCACCTGGCTCCAGGGGTGGAGTTTGAAGTGTGAATACCTATTAGACCAACCACACTTTTTCTTATACCTCTAGACCCCGCGCTACCTCCCATCCTCACTATAGCCCTGTTTAACCTAACATTATGAGCCCTTAGAGAAGACTACTCATGACTCCAGATGTTTAAAGACCTTTTTCACATTCACTTTTAGAGTGAAATGACCAAACTCCACTTGAGCTGTGTGCCTGTGAGAGCCATTGTGACTGCATGAGGCATACCTGTGGTCTAATAAACCAGGGGAGCAGGAGCTGAAAATATGTTTTGATTTTTGGGGGATATATTTGGAATCAAACTGTGCCTTTTGGTCAGACACACCCAGTTTAACACAAGGAAAGGTCCATTAAAGGTCCAGACAACCGCGAGTGACACAGCCCAGCAGCACAGAAGGATTATGGGAAAGGAGAAATTCAATTCTGTCAACTGGAAAAAAGTTTTTAGTCAACCAATAATTGTATGTTGATTATAAGGCTTTAGAAGGGACAACAGCAGAGTGAGTGAATTGAAGGCTTTATATTTTTTGGGTGGATATTTATATGTAAAAAGCATAGACTCTATAAAGAAGTGGACTAAAGGACTGCGATGTCACCTGTAGTGTTTGGCTCCAGTCAAATGAAGCTCAGTGAGGCTTGCAGTTATAGAAGCAAATTCGAAACCAGTTCCATATTAGGAATAGGAATTGATTTAAGGAGAAAACAACAAAATAAAAACACCAGTATCACATAGAGTGGGTTAATATGAACATTTTAAGACAAAAATGACGAGGCTCACAGTCTTAGTTGCAGAAAGAGGGGTGACCTTTTTTTTAATTGAATTGGAGTCGATGGAGCCAGAACCGTGCCCATGCTCACCTCCTGTTTGGAATGCGACTAGCAGGTTATCTAAGTCCATTCCTATATTCCTATATAATGGTAAAAAGGCAGATTAAACTCATGATTCACAAGTTGAATCTGTCTTTAAATAAATACATTGTTTCCTAGCAAAACGTGCCTTGCCCAGTACAGATATATTGTATAAGCAGCTCTTGAGGTCATGTTATTAGGTTCTTTGTTGAGACCAAGAGTTTGTTTTCATACCTGACAGTTTGGACTGCTCACTAGCGTTCGTCCTCAGAATGGTCATGTGATGTTGCTGTGAAGTGTCCTGTCAAATGAGTTATACAGGTTTTGGTGCTGTCTTCCTACCAGAGGAGGCAGGACAACAGCGCCATCTGCAATCCGACTTCCTCAGGACAGTATCCCAGGTATGTGAGAGTAAAAAAGCCCCCCTTGTCCCGGTTTATAATCCTGTGAGCATGTTTCTGTATTTTGATTGCCTCTTTAATCCAGAGATGATGTTTGCTTTCCTTTGTCCCAATCATATTTGCTAGTTCTCTCTTTTATAGTGATCAGAGATGGCTGATTTGAGTTGATCCTGTTCTGCTTTGTGTTTTGCTACTCGTGTGTACGCCTTCGCTGTTTCCTTCTCGCATTCTGTCCTATGTTCCTTTTTTGTTTACTGAACACCATCCCTGTTTCCCCGATGTATGCTGTATTGCAGGACATGCAGGATAATTCGTATATGACATTACATTTATGCTCCAGTTCCATTTTGTCTTTTGGGTGGATAAGTAATTGCCTGAGTTTTCTGTATGGTTTCCCTGGTGTGTTCATATTGTTTTTTCTCATTGTCTTTTTTACTCTCACGCACCTGGGATACTGACCTGAGGAAATGGGACTGGATATGATGCTGTCATCCTGTCTTAACTGGTAGGAGTATAACCCTGTACCTGTATAAACTGTATAAATTAGCTGCCCTGTATAAAAACCTGTATAAATTAGCTGACCAGACACATCACAGCAACATCACATGACCAAACTGAGGAAGAGCGTTAGTGAGCAGTCGAAACTGTCAGGTATGAAAACAAACTCTTGGTCTGAAAAAAGAACCTAATAACATAAATTATCAGACCACCAAATGAACCTCATTGGACTATTAGCTCTTAAGGTCAAAATAAGTCAGCTGTGTACTGTCTGCATCTAATTATAAAGCATTATTGCTTAGAATCAGGAAGTACCATGATGGGAAAACTCCCTTTTTGCTTCTGAAAGCTGTGAAATGCTCTTAAAAACGCAGTGTAGTGATTAATTAGGATGCTCGGAATCCGTAAGTGAGGAATAACTTTGGACCAGCGCAAAACATTTTAAGGTGCTATGTTACACAGGATGGATTTATGTTATAATGTTGTTACCTCCTCAAAAACAGACCTGGAGTTGTGTTTTGTTTCATTCACACGTTTGAGTAATCCTGCATTATTAGTTTGTCTACATCTCCGAAGCTCAAAATACTCATATAGTGTCAAATATACCTTTAGTTCAATAGAGATTGGCACTTTCTTTATTACCACATGACATAACAAGGGGGAACAGAGTGTTTTCCTATTGACAGAACACAGCGTACTAGTAAATATCCAGGATTTGTGTGTTAGACATGGAAACGGAACAAAACACAACTCCAGGTATGTTTGTGTGAGGAAACAACATTATAACATAGCTTAGAAATGTGTAATATTGGCCCTTTAAAATGAGTTCTGTTTTACAAGGTACAAAAACAAATACAGCGCCTTTAATTTCACAGGAAAATATCTAAATGAGTTTTGTTGTTTTTGTGACTCCTGGGACTAAATAAATGAGTCAGCAGTTACAAAATGCCTGCTCATGTTTGTGGAAGACGGAGCTGAAATAGGCTGTGTACAAACTGTGCAGGAGCCTGTGTTGCTATAACAATTATGAACTTATTTCAGAAGACCTAAAAATACCAGGAGGTGGTTGGGACCTGGGACATTACTTTGAATAAGAGATTCATTTAAACATTAGATAACCTTGTTTATGCACACTACAAATGTACAGATACAATTCATGTCTAACCCCTCAGAATTTTCCATAGTACAGCATTAAAAAGGCGATATTACGCTATTTTCTGATCCTGTGGTAATACAGGAAGTGCCCCACTGCATTTTTAAACTCCATACACCTTCACCTAAATCATTTGGATGGATGATTTGTATTCCAGCCTCTTCTGAACAAAAGGTAAAAGGAGGTGTTAACTTGAAAACTACTGCTTCATGACATCACAAGGTGGAACAGAGCATTTTGAGCTTTGGAGATGTAGATAGACTAATAATGTAGGATTACTCAAACATGTGTGAATGCAACAAAACACAACTCTAGGTATGTTTTTGAGAAGGTAACAACATTATAACATGACTTACAACTCATAGAAATCTGTTTTGTGTAATATGGGCCACTGTCACCACTAGGCCAAGTTACAGGTCAGATCTATGGAGTAGCACGACTTCTTGTGCATGCATCAAGATATTTTAGTCTATACCCTGTAATTGAATAAATACAAGATATAAACAAACACATGGAAAAGAAGAAGAAAGCTACGTTAATGTTGTCTGTCATGTCACATTCAGATATTGATTTGGGATACTTAAAATAATTCAGACTTCAAGCTATAAGTACATTTACTTGAGTATAATTCCAGGCTTCTCTACCAGCACCAAAATCAGATCCGGGATGGTGTAAACAATGTTAAACCAAGAACCACAGAGTCCTTTCAGGTTTAAACCAACTGGATTTCAGCACTGAATCTGGCAACCCAAATGACAGGCTCATGTGAGGCGCATTCTGCTTTCTGACTGGATAAACATCTTGAACCAAAACACCAAATCATAACACAGCTTGTCCATCATGTTTTTGTAATTTACAGTAAATCAACATTACAACTGCAATTAGCAAAACTATTTGAAAACAGATAGTGATTGACTTGCCATTGTTACCAAAAAGGTGTACAGCAGTCAAGTAGAGATCTGAGGCACTCTATAGTGTGAACACTTGAAGAGTCCTTTATTACATCACACACATCTTTTTGGTAACACTGGCAAGTCAATCTATCTTTAAACACCTTTCAGCCACATCCTACAGAGCACCTATAAAGTGTGGCTGAAAGGTGCCACATTACCAGATTACGCTGTTGACCCAATGATGGACTCATTTGTTCTCTTTTTTCAAAAGCTATATAAGCTATATTTATAACATGTATCTGAGGACACCATTTGGTCATATTTTTGGAAACTGGTAAATTGTTAATGGCCACATTTTTATACAGCACTTCACCATCTTCAAGGTGCTCAAAGTGTTTTGATTCAAAATCTAAATTTTATATAAGTTACAAGTGTCATTGTTTATACCTGTGATGGCGTCTTGTATGACAGTGTTCTCCAGGTTTTCACAGACCCATTCAGGGCAGCACCTGCCAGGCAGGCGGATGTACTGAGGGGAGGGGCAGTCAGGGGAGGGCAGAGGGGTGGAGAGGGGACAGGTGTGGACACAGGTCACACCTCCACCTGAGCAGAGACACGAGGAGTCACAGGACGGACGAAATGTCTGGCCCTCAGCATACGAGACACCGTTGAACTCACAGCCCATCTCCTCCACACCTGAGACACAAACACAAAGTATATGTTAAGAAATGGGAATGTCTATGTGTGTTCTAATAACTTGGATTCAAAATGTGTAAAGGGGACTTATGTATGAACTTCTATGATCTTTTAGTAATAATGGTGCTCCCTCATTATTAGCTTACTCACAGTTCTATTTTGATTGATTCATGTTTGACTAATCCTGTATTGTTCTGCAATTGAGGCTTAAAGATGCACTGTGCAACTTTTCTTGCTTATCTCCATGGAAATGTTATTGCTTTGTCTAGAATGTTCTATAGTATAGATTAAACCTGTCTATCACATGAGAGACAAGCAGGTTACAGTACTATGCTACATTACAGGTCAGATCTGTGGAGAGTCGACCCTATTTACAGAAAGAATTATTGCATTTTTGAGCAATAGAAATACCTGTAATAAATAAATGTTTAATGGATATGTTTAAAGTCATACCATGGAACATTCTAGACAAAGCAATAACATCTCCATGGAGACAAGTAGCACCTTTAAAATGCATATGAAATGTTAGACTACTCATTTTACTAAAACATAATCCACTTAGATTTAAGTTTTTACTAAAACTTTCACAGAGTTTTTGCTATTTATTACTTTAGTGAAGTTTATAATTTGACTTCCTGCTTGGACACGGGTAGCAGCGATGACATATTGGAGGTATTTCCGTAAGAACCACAATGTTAACAAAGGCCTCATGACGGTGTCTCCTTCCTAAATTGTTCCTGGATTTTAGATGGAATTTTCTCGTGTTGATGACAGAAGTACAAGTATTCTGTTTTTGTACTTTCTGCAGAATTTCTCCCACAAACTGCCACTGAACTGAACAAAAGTATGATAAATATTCGCTACAGGTACTAGACCACCAGACCAAGCCAGAATTAAAAGCATGAATACTCTACTGACCCACACACTCTCCTGGCTCCCCGGGCAGACTGGCGCTGTGGTCACACTGAAGGCCTTTGCCACATGGGTTCAGCTCCGTGCACGGCTCTCCTCTGCCACGTGCACACACCTGACAGCAGCCACACCCATCCAACACCAGAGGAACCCCCGCTCGGCATTGTGGGATATCCCCCGGGCACTGGCAGGGCATCCGACATAGCTGGCACAGCGCCTGAAATTTAGAGGAGCGCAGATTAGCACAACCTTCTTGATTCTATCAACAGAATCATTTCCTGCACTCAGCCTTCAGTCAGTCTCCATTCAAATCTTTTTTTCAGTTTCAGAGGGACGAAATGTTTGGGCTGTTGCCATAGCTATTAACAATTCAAAAACAAATCCATGAACAGTGTGATCACTTCTGGGCTCAGTGTTGGAAAGTAACTCAATACATGTACTGATAAAACTGATAAAAGGGCCCAGGTTCATTATTTTCTGTTTTGTGATCGTGTTATTTCCTCATCAGAAACATATAAAACATAAAACAAAATGTACCTGGAGTTATGTTTTGCTTCATTCACACGTTTCACATACAAATCCTGCACATTTAGGCTGAGTTCTTCTCTCAAACAGAAAACACTCTCCTCCACCTTGTGATGTCATGTGGTTTTGTCATGTGTTTTTAAACTCCATACACCTTCACTAGAACTATTTGGATTATTTAAGTCTTGAAATTTCCCATCTCTTCTAAACAAAAGTTAGATGGTAGCTGTTAACTTGCTCACATGACAAGGTGGAAAAGAGCATTTTGACCTTTAGAGATGTAGACACTCTAATAACAAAGGGTTACTCAAACATATGTGAATGAAACAAAAAACAACTCCAGGTCTGTTTTTAATGCAGTAACAGCATTCTAACATGCCTCAAAGTTCACAAGTGTCAGTTTTGTGTAATTGTAACATTTTGAGATTTTGAGTAAGTGCATTTATTCAGGTGAAGTTTTTATAATATGATGTAAGCCATGTAACAGCATATGCTACACATACATTTTAATGCAGGTATTCTTATGTAACTGAATTCGGTTTCAAAGTATTCTTCACAACACTGAAAACCCTGATAAAGGTATAACTGACAGGTGGGTATTTCAAATTATAAATTGCATACCAAGTCCTTTACAACCTTTGTATTTCTACTTAAGTAAAATTATTTTGCATTAACATTACTCTTACTACTTCAATAACATTTTTGTCTACACTTTACCCACCTCTGAGTATTAAACTAAAGCTTTTTTCAGACATTAGAATAAATGGCCTCTTTGTTGGAGCAGGTGTCAGTATTCTTTTATCAATAATTTGTAATAATATCCATCCATAGGAAATACCCAAATGTCTACAAATTTTGATCTCATTCTTATATTCGTTACTATCACCGCTGCAGTGGTGAGTGAATACTTGTTACTTATTATACTGACAGAGGCAAAAGGTTACTCAGGTAAAAGGATTACTTGAAAAAATAGGTGAACTTGAGTTTAGTTAGGAAGCCTACTAGATAACCAGGACTGAAAGTAGTTTTATTTTTTTGCTAGTACAATTATATTTTGATTTATATATGATGATGATGATGATGATGATGATTGATTTATTAATTTTCTTAAGATTATTGTTTAAAAGTAAACTACTCTCATTAAATGTCAAATTAAGAGAAAATCAAATTGCTTTGGACCATTAGTGGCACTGAGGGCAATTGGTTGGGGACCCATTCAGGTTTGGGGGCCCTAGGCAGCTGCCTACTTGTGCCTAATGGTAGAACCGCCTCTGGTAGTAGTAGTAGTAGTAGAAAGTACAAATACCTGCTCTCAAATGCAGTAAAGTAAAAATATTCAATGTAAATTTACTTCAGTAAAGTGCAGATAGCTAAAAAATTCTACTTAAGTACAACACTTCACTGCTTGTACTTTACTACTTGTACTTGTATCATTATCAGTAACGCTGCATTTTGCCATGACCTATCCAAAAGGTAATTTCACAAATGTCACTGAATTACAACAACAATCTGAATTTGATCTATATTAACATTTTGGTGCCCTCATCTGTATTAAGTAATACTGGCCTATAAAATATTATGTCATCTGAAACTCAGCACTTGTTTCCTTCACCCAACACATTATCATCACCTCACTGACTGTGAAGTTAAATATTGTCAGATTTCTTTTTACATTGATTTTTAGTGTTTTGTATGTTTGATGTCTTAAAAAAAATACAAAAAAACATGAAGTAAAAAGAATAAATAGTGAGTAGAGGGACTCACCTGTGCAGAGATCCAGAGCAGGAGGACAGCTCTGTGAAGCCACGTTCTGTTCATCATCATTATCCCTGTGTCTGCTCCAGTGTCCACTCTGCTCTTATATAGTCCCCTGTTGGGTCCAGCTCCCTCCTGTCCACTCGTCTTCTGCTCTTTCTCTCTTCCTCACTCTCTCTTTTCTCTCTCCTCTCCTCTCTCGCGCTCGCACTTTCGTTCCCAGATTTTGAAAGTCTTCTCTGATGATGTCATGACTCGTGTAAACAGCAGCAGCAGCATCACACATGGTCCACATTCCTGTGACTGCACTTCCAGACAGAGGCACACCCACCTCTACTCACAACACTCTGCCCACGCTTCCTCCTCTGCCCCACCTCCTCCACCACCCACTGCACCTCCTCCGCCCACTGCGCCTCCTCCTCCACCCACGGCACCTCCTGCTCCACCCCCTGTAATGTCTCTTTCACCCACTGTACCTCCTCCACAGTCTCTTCCACCTACACCTCCTCCACCACTTTCACCTCCTCTACTGCACCTCCTCCTCCACCCACGGCACCTCCTGCTCCACCCCCTGTAATGTCTCTTTCACCCACTGTACCTCCTCCACAGTCTCCACCACCTGCACCTCCTCCACCACTTTCACCTCCTCTACTGCAACTCCTCCACCTACTGCAGCTTCACCTCCTCCCCCCACCACACCTCCTGCTCCACCCCCTGCAATGCCTCTTACACACATTGCTTCTCCTCTGTCCACTGCACATCCTCCTCCACCCACTGCACCTCCTCCTCTTCCACCTCCTCCACCACACCACTTCTACCTTCACCCACCGGCACCTCCTACTCACCCCCTGCAATGACTCTTTCACCCACTGCACTTTCTTCACCGTCTCACCACCACCTGCACCTCCTCCACCCCACACTGGGCATCCTCCCCTTCCATCCACTGTGCATACACTTCTCCACCCATTTTCACCTTCTCTACTACAAATCCTCTACCCACTGCACCTCCACCTCCTTCTTAATTGCACCCACTGCATCTCCTCCTTTCCACCTCCTTCTCCACCCACCTACTTTAACCCCTGCAATGCCTCTTTCACCCACCGCACTTCTTCCACCATTTCCACCACCTGCACCTCCTCCACCACACACTGCATCTCCTCCTCCACCCACTCCACCTTCTCCTCTTCCACCTCCTCCACCCACTGCACCTCCTCTTCTTCCACCCACTACACCACCTCCACCTCCATCTACCGCACTTTCTACTCCACTCCCCGCAATGGCTCTTTCACCGACTGCCCCTCCTCCAGTGTATCCACTCAATGCACCTCCTTCACCACCCACAGCACCTCCTACTCTTCCACCTCCTCCACCCACTACTCCAACTCCTCCACCTCCTCCTCTTACTCCTCTTCCACCTCCTCCACTCACTACTCACTCACACCTCCAAATGAGTTTGCTAATCTGCTCCATCGGCCTCTCCCACCACCACCCACACTCACACACACGCCGCATTCATACGAGGCGTGATAGGTGAAGTTTGTATTATAAAGCCACTGCAGCACCTGGTGTTCCCTGCGGCCTCCTGCCTACAGCCAGGATACTTAAGGATAAATGTTCACTCTTGTATTCAAGGTTTGTTATTACTGAATATAAGTCATGTTTAAAAGTCTTATACTACACAGGGTCCTATATTACACAAAATCTTTAAGCCATGTTATAACGTTGAAACAAAAACATCTCAGGAGTTGTGTTTTGTTTCATTCACACATGTTGAGAAATCCTTTGTTATTGGTCTGTCTCTATCTCCAAAGATCAAAATGCTCTGTTTCACCATGTTATGTCATGCAAGTTAACAGCTAGCAGCTTTAGTTTAGTAGTTTAGACCTTTAGTTCAGTAGAGATGGACAGGGCTGAAATCATCCAAATGATTCTAGTGGAGATGTATGGCAGGGGTCTCCAACCTTTTTCCTCTGGTGAGCTACTTTTACAAAAAATGCCAGAGATCTACCAGTTTTAGTGGTCGCAAGAAATTTTATTGATATACAAAAGAGGGTTGTCTTAAATGGAACACAGTTAGATACCTGTAAAACATTACCATTAACTATTTATTAGACTTAGACTTAGACAACCTTTTTTGATTCACAAGGGAAATTATTTGGACACAGGAGCTCACACATCACAATATAATATAATAACAAAGAATAAAAAATATAAATGGTAATAATAAATTCTAAATAAGTAGCAAAAAGGATAGCAAGAGACATGTGAAATAAGACATAATTATATAAACGTAAATTAACAAGTCAAAATAAAATAGAATTATTAGTGCACAAAGTTGAAAATTATACATTTCCAATGGCAACAGCTGAGCTACTTGGAAGGGGCTGAAGAGCTACTGGTACTGATGTATGGAGTTTAAAACACAGTGGAGCACGTGCAATCCCACATGACATCACAAATTGCAACAAAGTGTTTTCCATTTGAGAGAAACACTCCAGCCTCAAAAACTCCAAGCCTAAATATGCAGGTTTTGTGTGTTAAACATGTGTGAATGAAACAAAACACAACTCCAGGTTTGTTTGTGATGAGGAAGCAATATTATAACACAGGTCAGAAAATAAGGTAGTACGGGCTTTTTAAATGACAGGTCTTTATAAACTCTTCAGACTTAAATGGAGGTATGCACACCAGCTTGACACCATGATGGAACCAAACTGACTTCATCCAAACACTTTAGACATGTGCTCAGAGCCCAGGAGGCAAACCCGGTGGCCCCTCTCTGCAGGTGGGCACGAGACCCAGTTCCAAACACACCGATGAAGAGGAAAGTATGTTCTGTGGGCAGGTGGGCCAAAGGTGTACACCGCTGACAGGATCTGAGTCCAGAGTTTCCCCCAGAACTGGAAATATCTCCTCCAAGAATGACCAAGAGCGGAAAGACTCAAGTTTATGAAGAAGAAATGTTTGCAATGTTGTTGGCAATTGCTGGCATGCACGGTAAAGTCTGTGGTGATGTGGAGATCTTTGTGTTGAAGTTTTGGAGCCTATCTGACCCCAAGAACCAACTAACTACTGGAGTGATACGTGGACTAAACCCGGACTAAAGTAGGATTAAACCAGGGTTAAACCAGGGACTGAACCCAGACTAAGCCAGGACTAAATCAGGTCTACACTAGGATCAAACTGCCAGGACAAACCAAACTAAATCAGAACTAAACCAAGACGCGTAAACAAAAACTCAAAATAAGGAATCGACTTAACCTGGACTGGAGAAGGACTAGAGCAAGACTAAACAAGGACTCAACTAAAACAGGAAAGACTATATTAGGACTAAACCAGGACTAGACCAGAATCAGCCAAGACTAAATGAGGGCTGAACCAGGACTAAACCAGGCCTAAACCAGTAGTAAACAAATACTAAACCTGGACTAAACAAGGACTGAACAAGAACCAAACAAACCAAAACACTAAGACAGTGCCAAATCAGGACTGGACCAGGACTAAACCAGGATATGCCCATTAACAACTATAAAACCCACATGGACAACTGAGGGTTTACACAGATATAAGATCACATGGGAACAGAAAAAAGTAATATGAGTTTTCCTATTTTTCTATTTTTTTCTATTCCTCAATATCGAAATAGAGTTTGAAATTTAATTATCCTGACAACACTAGATTACACAGCAATTTGTTTTACCTTGAACAAGAACATTTTCACTTCAAACACCAGTTGCATAAACATGCTTTGGTCTTGCTATTTCAGTCGGTCATTCCTGAGCGCTAAAAGGGAAACAGCAAAGTCATAACATTACGACCTGCTCGCCAAAATCCATCAGTGCCGAGACCTGTGCCAATTCAAACCAATGAGAGCAAAAACATGGCCAAACTCACTTCCTCCGCTCAAAAGCAAAAATACCAGCTGCGTGTGCTTTTGAAGCTTCTAAAGAAGTAATTATCCTTTTATTTTTTTAATGTCATGTTTTTTCCCCATCATAAACATACCTGGAAGTGTGAGTAACTGCCTACTTCATATTTTCTTATTTACCCTCCTCATACCTTAAGACCTTTGGAGCTTTCTGCCATGTTATAATGTTTTTCCCTCATCAAAAACATGCCTGAAGAGGTTATAAGTGTCATCCATGCATGTTTGAGTAATCTAGCGATCTCTCCTGGTCTCTATTTGAAACCTCTTTTCAGTTAGGTGTGAGATTCCAGTGCTCACCCATGCTCACACATGACAATTCTCCATAAATCTACAAAAACAACATTGAAACAGTGACTGGTCAAACAGGTATCCACACTTCAAAGCTCGCCCCAGCACAGAAGTTTGCAATCAGAGACTCCTGGCTGTGATCAGGACAGTCCTGTGTGCTGTCACATAGCACTTTAAATTGCAAAGGCCATTGATTCGTTTTTTGGAGCCTGTCTGACCCCAAGAACCAACTAACTACTGGAGTGATACGTGGACTAAACAAGGACTAAAATAGGATTAAACCAGGGCTAAACCAGGGACTGAACCAAGACTAGGCCAGGATTAAATCGGTCTACACTAGGATCAAACTGCCAGGACAAACCAAACTAAATTAAGACAAAAATAGCCCTATAATCACAATAAACAAAAATTCTAAATAGACTTAACCAGGACTGGACAAGAACTAGAGCAAGACTAAACAAGGACTCAACCAAAAGAGGCAAGACTATACTACAAGGCAGTCATGTGTGATGCCACATAGTACATGAAATTGACCATTGATTTTTCTGTTTGTTTGTTTGTTTGTTTTTGTTTTTACCAGAAAGCTGTGAATTTAACTAGTATGTACTAAAGCTGCTAAAAAAGAAAGAAAGAAACTAAAAAATAATAGCCAATGATATTAAAACCACATACACCTTTAGTACCAAAACTGTCTATTGTCAATACAGTTTCACACAACAAACCAGTGTTCTGCTAGCAATAGACCATCAACAGAGACAAGGGGGCATTTATCTCATGTCACACATGGGACTCACTCTATTATTTAAATGACTGCAGTGCACCAGCAGATCCTGTGGCCTCTTCTGACACTAGTGAGACCTTTTCTTTCAAATCAAGCCAGAATTTCAGACTTCGTTTCCATACACATTTGCTTTTTCATAAAATGCTGAAATTGTCCATATGAAATGTAACAACGTACAAATCCATAAATGTGTTAAAAGTATCACCCTGGTGGCAGTGACCTCAGCAGACTCAGACTTCACTTTTGCCAGTTTGTGGTTTGAATATTTCCTTTTTGTCTGA